CCCAAAGTGCTGGGATTACAGGCTTGAGCCACCGCGCCCGGCCACGGTATTTTTGTCTTTAAACCCATTAGAATTTCAAAATATTGGGCTACAGTTCAGTTTCTAAAATATTATTTTCTTTATTTAGAAACTGTGACTCTGACCTTTTAGGCAGTATGGCGTAGTTCCATAATGATGTTGAGAATGGACTATGTTAAGAATTACCAAGAAGTGGGCCGGATGTGGTGGCTCATGTCTGTAATCCCAGCACTTTGGGAGGCTGAGGCAGGCGGATCACTTGCGGTCAGGAGTTCGAGACCAGCCTGGACAACATGGTGAAACCCGTCTCTACTAAAAATACAAAAATTAGCCAGGCGTGGTGGCAGGTGCCTGTAGTCCCAGCTACTCGGGAGGCTGAGCCAGGAGAATCGCTTGAACCCAGGAGGCGGAGGTTGCAGTCAGCCGGGATCGCGCCACTGCACTCCAGCCTGGGTGACAGAGTGAGACTCTGTCTAAAAAAAAGAATTACCAAGAAGCGAAATAATGTATAAGCCATACATCCTTAGGCCTATTTGGATTTATTTGAGGGAGATTCCCAAGGGTTTGTCAAAAAATTCTCAAGTTTAAATTCTGTCTTCCTGTTGGACAACAAAAGTGGTATAGATCTGATTCTAAGACATCTGTGACCCAGCCTAGGCAGCGGGGGTTATTCTGGACTTTTTAGAATAGTATCTCGAAATTCTGTGGCACTGACTCATTGGAAGTAAAACAAGCCAACGCTCTGTACATCTTTCTGCCCTTTAGTAATGTTGCTGTAAGAGGCAGTGTCTTTATTCTCAGAATGGGAAATTTAATTTAATTGAAAGAATAGCTTATGGTCTGGTTTAGAATGGAAATACTATCTCTTTGAGGTAATAGTTGCTATTTTTAGACTGACTTTTAAAAATAGATGAGAAGTCATGATGTTTATTTGCTCCACTTAGTCTTAGCTATTAGGAGATAGTCTCCAAAATACCGTTAACAATTATCCCAAATAAGTGCTCGAAAATACTTTACAAGATATTTTAAAGGGATTTTTCTCATAATGAGTAATTGATTCAACACTAGTTTTAGAGAAAAGCTCTTAAATTGCATTGTCAAATAAACAATTTACTAAACAGAAATAGATTTTCCATAGTGAAATCTGGTTAGAACAATGGTGCATTCCTAGGCCAGAGTTTCAGAAGTGGATATTAATTCAAAGCAGCTGGATGCAGGGACTGAGAAAAAGACAGCCCTGTGTTTTTGCTGTGGCTTTGGAGAATCTGATGTATCACAGTATTTTGCTGTTTTTGAAGGTTTCCCTATCCTTGTAGCCAGTGAGAGTGAGCAAGATTGTAGAAACAGATAGTCCTTCGCAATCATATGTCCAAGCTTTTGCATGGAAGAAAAACTCCCGGAGAGACAGTGCTCCTTTAACATAAAAGGCAGACCCTCTAAAACATACTTCTTTAATTTATTTTCTTCTACACAGCTTACTTTCTAGGCTGAACTGTAGACACGTCGGTCCTTATTCAGCGTCTTCCACAGTTCATGTCTAGGGCCCTTGTTATGTTTTCAGGATTACTGCATAGAAACAGGGCAAAGGGCATCATGAATCTATTAGGAGGTAATATGCTTACAGAAGGAATTATGCAGCTAAAGCTAAAATATGATTAGGGATTCTGTGAGCTACAGGAAGAGGATCACAGCCACCTCCAACCAAATGGTGCTGGGTGGGGTACCTCTGGCACCAGCTTACATGGGTAAAATATTCTACTTGGGTGAGATATTCTAAAATACTGGTGTGAGTGGATTTATTGCCAGGAAGCTTTTATCTGCTCTCATGGGATGTGTGTGTGTGTGTCTCTGTGTGTGTGTGTATGTGTGTGTGCATGTATTTCATGCACACATATATATATAATGATGACATTCTGATGTGATGCCTATTTGAGAACTTAAGTTATTTTAAAAACTCACTTAGATAGGATCTCCAAAATAAGTGAGGAAATTACCTCTTGACCTCTTGCTGTTCTTTACAGAAGAGATGAAGAAATCCCCACTGGATTTTTGTGAGACTTTCCGAGGAAGGCTTGTGAATAAAATAGAGACTCTTTTAGAAATTTGAGGTCTAATGGGAATTTTTTTTTTAAACATTCGTAACGAAATGATACATGATGAAACTGTCAGCGGCTGAAGAGTTAATAGGGTATTTGTGCTGGACGGGCTCGGGGAACAGATGGAATGCATGTAGGTGGGAAAGCTATTATTTAAACAGAGGAGGGCTACTGTGTATTGGAAGGGGGTGGATTTTTGAGGGTAGCTGGGTACTTAACATTTTGGGGCTAGACTAATATATTTACTAGTGGACACAGGAAGCAGCAGACGCCAAGGCATATGGTCAGGAAGAGAGTTAACAGGCCACCAACAAAGAGGAAGAATGTGGCAGCTGAAATCAACTGAGGGTAGATGAAAAGAGGATAAAATGGCACCGAGAGATCCAAAGGCCGTAAGAAACTCAAAAAACCTCAGTAATAAGGAAATGCATTTGGAAATACTGATATTGTTACCTTCATTTGGGAAGTGTTCACGTGTGAATAGGGAAGAAAATAAAGGAAGCAATTGTGAATTACCTGAGGCTTTCACCAGATGAGTATGAGTAAAATGTGTGAAGTGAAATTCAGGTTAAGCCTTCAAGTCACATAGGCAGGAAACCAATAAAGAAGATTGACGTGAAAAGAAGCCGATACTAAATGTTCCCAGCAAGCAGAAAGTGGAACAACTGCTTCAGCGTTCTTCTTTGGGTTGACGTTTGAATGTTTCTATGTGTTTCTTTTCTTCCTTTCTTTCTCTCTTTTTCTTTCTTTCTTTCTGTTTCATTCTTTTTTTTTTTTTTTTTTGAGAGGGAGTCTCACTTGTCGCCCCGGCTAGAGTGCAGTGGTGTGATCTCAGCTCACTGCAGCCTCTCGGGTTCAAGCGATTCTCCTGCCTCAGCCTCCTGAGTAGCTGGGACTACAGGTGCATGCCACCACACCCAGCTAATTTTTGTATTTTTAGTAGAGACAGGGTTTCGTCATGTTGGCCAGGATGGTCTCAATCTCTTGACCTCGTCATCCGCCCGCCTCAGCCTCCCAAAGTGCTGGGATTACAGGCGTGAGCCACCACGCCCGGCCTCTTTCGTTCTTTCTTCCCTTTCTTTCTCACTTTTCTTCCTTTCTGTCTGTCTTTTCCTTGTCTTTCTGATTTTCTTTCTTTCACGATTAGGTCTTAATTTTCTTGTTTTTGTTTGTTTGGTGTTTTGTTTTTTGAAACAGTCTTGCTGTTACCCAGGCTGGAGTGCAGTGGCGCAGTCACAGCTCACTACAAACTCAACCTCCTGAGCTCAAGCAATCCTCCCACCTCAGCCTCCCGAGTAGCTGAGACCACAGGCACACATCACCACACCTGACTAATTTATTTTTTATTATTATTTTTTGACACAGGGTCTCGCTCTGTTGCCCAGGCTGGAGTGCAGTGGTAGTGATCATAGCTCACTGCAGCCTCAGCCTCCCAGGCTCAAGCAATCCTCCTGCCTCAGCCTCCTGAGTAGCTGGGACTACAGGCACATACCACCATGCCCAGATAATTTTTGTATTTTTTTGTGGAGAGAGGGGTCTCACCATGTTGCCCAGGCTGGTCTTGATTTCCTGGGCTCAAGCAATCTGTCTACCCGGGCCTCCTGTAGAGCTGGGATTACAGGTGTGATCTACCACACTCAGCCAGGTCTTAATTTTCTATAACATTGGTTCAGTAAAACAAAACAAAAACAAGCAAACAAACAGTTGCCCTGGTTATGTTGGAAAACAGCCCATTTCCTGTTGTGTTTTTGGCTCAAAACCCTATCTTCATCTGGCAGGAGGTAGTTTTTTGCCTTGTGTGGACCTCAAATTGTATTAGAGATTCACGAGATAAAAATTTATCGAAATAGTACCACAGTGCTATATGAATCTGAGGTGGTATTAACAACATAACCCCTTGTACTTCTGGATGACTTTAGAGTTTATAGACATTCCTGTTTGAACTTTCAAATCGATTCTGCAACTAATCAACAATTGTTGCCCTTTTTTTAGGTATGTGATTAATCAGAATATGAATTAGAGAAAAATAAAATTGCAAATTATTGATTTTTGAGGAGAAAAGCAATGCAGTAAAACATAAAATAGCACCCGTCAAAAAACATAAAAAGCATAAAGAAGGTGCCATACTTATTGCCTCTTTAGCATATATACTAAATATAAACATGGTGGAGAGCTTTAGAAAGGTCTCCTTAGGTCAGTGGTTCATATGCCTTTTTAGTTCATGAACGCCATTGAGAATTGGGTTTAAAAATTTGTGGATTTGCCAGCCAGGCGCGTGGTTCATGCCTATAATCCCAGCACTTTGGGAGGCTGAGGCAGGTGGATTGCTTGAGTCGAGGAGTTCAAGACCAGCCTGGGCAATGTGGTAAGACCTCATCTCTACAAAAAAATAAAAAATTAGCCTAGCATGGTGGTGCATGCCTGTAGTCCCAGCTACTTGAGAGGCTGAGGTAAGAGTGCCACTGCACTCCAGCCTGGGTGACAGAGGGAGACCCTGTCTCAAAAAAGGAAAAAAAAAATTGTGGATTTCTCATTGCCTCCTCAAAAATATATATATACATGTGTATATGAGCAGAGGTTCCCACAAGGATCCTCCAGGTAATGTGAATTGCCCAAGTGCAGACAATATAGAATGGTGTGTCAAACTAGAAGGCACACACCACATTAAGACAATAGGGAATGGTGGATTTTTATACAAACTAGGATGTACATTGCTTACCTGAAGTAAATTCAATTCAGAACATTAAAAAATAGCACCTGCTGAATACATTTGAGGTAAGTCTGGCCCTTAGGCATCCCAGTGTGCAGTTCTAGGCGTTTATTGATTGCACCCAGGCTTTTATTTATGATGTATAAACGTGGGAGTATTCTTGTTTTTGCCCTAAGGCCCGACAGCAAGCTCAAATACGTCACCAAATGGCAGAGGACAGCAAAGCAGATTACTCATCCATTCTCCAGAAATTCAACCATGAGCAGCATGAATATTACCATACTCACATCCCCAACATCTTCCAGGTAAATCCTGAACATCTCTCAGATTTCATGTTTTATGCTTTGCTTTCCTTAGAAACATGATACTTCTGAATCATGATTGCTGGGTTTGTATTCTGAGTCTTTATATGTAATTCCAAATTTCCACTATTTTTTTTTTTTTTTTTTGAGACAGAGGCTTGCTTTGTCACCCAGGCTGGAGTGCAATGGAGCAGTCTTGACTCACTGCAACCTCTGCCTCCTAGATGCAGTGACTCTCCTGCCTCAGCCTCCTGAGTAACTGGGACTACAGGCAAGCACCACTGCGCCCAGCTAATTTTTGTATTTTTAGTGGAGACGGGGTTTCACCATGTTGGCCAGGCTGGTCTCAAAGTCCTGACTTCGGGTGATCTGCCTACTTCGGCCTCTCAAAGTGCTTGGGATTACAGACCTGAGCCACTGCACCCGGCCCTTTTTTTTTTTTTTTTTTTTTTGAGACAGTCTCACTCTGTTGCCCAGGCTGGAGTGCAGTGCACAATCACAACCCACTGCAGCTTTGAACTCCTGGGCTCAAGGGATCAAGGGATCCTTCAACTTCAGCCTCCTAAGTAGATGGAACTATAGGCATGCACCACCGTGCCCTGCTAATTTTTAAATTTTTGTAGAGATAGGGTCTTGCTATGTTGCCCAGGATGGCCTCAAATTCCTGGACTCAAGCAATTCTCCAGCCTTGGCCTCGCAAAGTGCTAGGATTATCGGCATGATAAATCATTTTTTAAGGCATCTAGATCAAGCATTGACTAGCAATATGAATGAAATATAATCATCTCAAGATTAATCAGTAAACTTTGCAAACTTCCATAGTTTGCACCTGCAGCCAATTATTTGTCAGTCTTTTTTCTTTTTTCTTCTTTTGAGACGGGGTCTCGCTCTGTCGCCCAGGCTGGAATGCAGTGGCACAGTCTCAGCTCACTGCAACATTCGCCTCCCGGGTTCCAGCGATTCTCCTTCCTCAGCCTCCAGAGTAGCTGAGATTACAGGCACCTGCCACCATACCCAGCTACTTTTTTTGTATTTTTAGTAGAGACAGGGTTTCACCATGTTGGCCAGGCTGGTCGCGAACTCCTGACCTCAGGTGATCTGCCCGCCTTGGCCTCCCAAAGTGCTGGGATTACAGGCATGAGCCACCACGCCTATTTGTCAGTCTTAAACTATGATTTTCTCATTAATACTCTCTCTGCTAAAGGGATAATTATGGTTATAAAAATGCCAGCTTAACTATAGAAGTCAAAGCAGCATTCACAGAGTTGTAGGATTTGAACAAACGACAGTTGTTTCTTTTGGATGGTTTTCTTTTGCTCGTGTTAGGTTGTCAAAAATGGCATGAGAAAAGACAGACATATGTTCTCCCATTTTACAGATCTTTTGCAACTTTGAGTCCAATTGTAGAAAAAAATAATAAATATTTGCTTCTTGGTGTCTACACACACAGCAAACAAGTCCTTCTAAATTATAGTTGGAAGGTACACCAGTCTGTATTGGGTTGAGACAGTTAACTAAATACTGTGCTTTTGGTAAAAGGTAAAGTGGTAGATTAAAGATGGAGAAAATGTTTGAGGTAGATTACAAATTGTGTTAATAATAAAACTATTGGCCAGGTATGGTGGCTTAAGCTTGTAATCCCAGCACTTTGGAGGCCTAGGTGGGTTGATCACCTGAGGTAAGGAGTTGGAGACCAGCCTGGCCAACATGTCAAAACCCCGTCTCTACTAAAAATACAA